GTATCGTGAAAAGCACTATACAAATAAACTTGATTTGAAAATTTAATTGAATATATAGAAACCCATACACACAAGCTAAGAATGCAGTACATACTTTACAAAACTATAAAGTCCATTTATATATATTTAGAGTGAGCTACCCATATGCATCTCACTTCAAACACATATCCCTGTCTCTAAAATATACATTTCAAGAAATATGTATGCAGATGATTGCACAGCCATTAATCATTATAGTGCAACACAGTGTGGTCTACATTACGGCTCCACACACACGATCCAGGACTAGATGAGTCAGTGTGGGTGAGGATGCTTTCTGGGGGGAAGTGGCATCTTGCTTTGTGAGTCTTGGCAGCCCGGTGTAATCAAATGTTCCTGGAAATGACTTCCTGTCCTGTGAGATGGAGCTGGGCTCCATTTGAGATAAAGACTTCTCTGGCTGTTACGGCAAACGCTGTTTTAATAACCCGGCCTGGCTGGGCAGAGCTCGAGCGACTGTCTTTGATAGATGCCATTGTGAGGCCGCTGAGGAACGCCACACTAAAAGCCCTCTTGCTGTCATTAATGGATGAACAGACCTTATGTGGTCCAATTAATTTTTGACACATTGAATCTTAATAAGTCAAATTAAATTTGGGGGAAACATTTGCTGCCAACTTGTCTTTGTAGACTGTAAATGGAAACATTTTTGTGATTTAGTTTTTTTTTATATATAACAATTATGCATGTGGAAAATATTAGCACTTTTTCAATGTTAAAATACATTCATTTATCCCAACTGCAGGCTAAGTAAGCCTTTTATAGTTTGATTCCCCAGAAAAGTGTAAACACTGTTGTGTTTCAAAACATTGCACTGTTTACTTGATCATCCTGACCCGGCAACACTGGCTCAACCAATGGTGTGAGTTTGGGGCGTGACTGTCTGTTTGATCAACCAATAGCAGTTGAGGAGTTCTGGAAACTTGCATGGAAACAGTTATTATACAATTTACTGAAACCTCACCTTTAATTTCAAAGGTTCACAAAAGTCAATGAGGATTTGGAATCTAAATGCTAATGTACAGAGCTACATTATCAACAGCTGAGATTTTGCTGTGATCTTACTGTGATCGTGCAATCACTGTGATCTGATCTGGGATCAACATGGCCCGAGGAAACACAGGGACCGCATTGATATGCAGCAGATGTCGGCTTCTCCATTATATCTGATCACAAAGAGCAATCAGAAGGGAGACTGCGGCTTGATGAGAACTCCTCTGCCAGACTCCCGGCCCAGACTCCAGCCCTCAACGCCATGACATCATTCACCTCTGCTGCCCACTGAGATTGCTTTCGGGTACCGCTATATATAGTCATAGAACAGACCAGGAATACTTTTGAACAGAAAATAATTATCTGTGTCACCCAGGCCAAAAAATACCACAGAGACCATTGGATATTACAAAATGAGTTGACATGACAGCTGGTATTATTATTTTAAAACTCCAAAGTGAATAACTGTGTGTAACTACACATCAAAATAATTACAGTAATATACTGTAATATACCACAAAATAAATGAACTTCGTCACTGTAATATCTTAAATGACATTGAAATAAAAAGAACAATCCAGCATTAGCATGCTCTCTCAGCATGTTTGAAGCATCATTTTATATAGCCCAGCATGCAGAGGGAGAATATCTTCACCGGTATTTTTGTCTTGTCAAATCTGCGCTTCAAGGAGCTAGTGATAAAGCTATTAGTCACATAAAGACTGTGTAATACCGGGTGCAATAACTGTTTTTAGATGGATCAATAGTCTTATCTGTCTGTCGATGTCTCATACACGGACCCCAAAAAAAGCAAGCTGCTTCACAGCAAGCAGCACAACGCTAGACACTAATCAATACACCAGGCGATAACAGAATGCTTCCAAAGCCATTTAGCACAGTCTTATAACTCTGCTGAGCGCTCAACCTGTCAAAATATTTTGTGGAGGGGTGGCACAAGGGAACACTTCATGCCTATCAAGGGGAACAAGTTTCTGCTTTTCAACCCAAAGGATGGCGGTTCTCTTTCAGCACTGCAGAGGTGTGAGCGGCAGTCTGAAGATAATACAATTAAGACACTTATAATGACAATTAACGTTGAGACGTTTAATTTATTTTAGTATACTGGCTAATGATTTGTTTCAATTAAATGGATAAAAATTCATGAAGTCTTGAATCGATATTTCATTATCTTTTTCTTTAATGCATGGCACTCCAATTGAAAAATTATTGAAACATGCTATTGACAATTAGCTTTGAAAAGCCTTATTCAGTTTAGCAAGTTTGGATGGTTTGTTGACTAAGAACTGATAAAAGCAAATTATTAATTGAGTCATTTGGGTCATCACATATTTTGCATATTGTTTTTTAGAGAAGTAAATATGATGTTGAATGCTGCTATTTGTATGAGTATAGTTTTGAATATGTGATATATTAACTCTCAAATGTTGCATTATCTTGGTTCCAACATGTCATCCTCTTCACAGTTTTGTTTTGCCTGAGTCATCACAAAGAACCATCTTCATATTTGTACGTGAGTCACACCATTACCACTGACAATATTTCCTGTTTAAAAAAAGCAACCAAAGAGCATTCTGTCAATTTTTGAGCACAATAAAATACCATCCACTCATCTGACAACAAAGAAAACCTATGAGGATATACAATCAGGAAAGGCTTTCACAGTTCAAAACCACAGCCAGAGCGAACCTGGATAAATAAGCCTGAAGAGCTGCGGAATAATAAGTAGCCAGCACAACAGAGTACAGGTGAATCCCACGAGAGCCGCTTCTACAGAATCCACTCCTTTTAACAAACTAAAGCCACGCAAGGCAGGGTGGAAAAAAAATCTAATCAATGTCCTTGAAGATGTTTTCTTTTCTCCCGAGAGCCATCTTGAAAGAGCGGCTCTGCACGCGCTCTCTTGCGTTCTGTTTCAATCCTACTAGCCCTGTTTTCGTAACTCTCTGCTTTTTCTCCATTTATTTATTTATTTTTTCTTTTGCATCTCTCTCTTTTTTTACTTTCAGGCAGTGACTCATCTGTCAGAAGGAGGGGTAGGGAAAGATGGCGTAGGCCCAGCTGGGGCCCACCCTACGGGGGGTCATCTCTCTCTGTGACTGCCCCTCTTTGCAATAACAATATCCATCTCCATTTTCCTGCAAGCTGACCAGTATGAGGGCACTCTCAGAGCAATTAAAATTCCCCAGGTTTCCACTCTTGCCACATGCTTAACTCTACTGCGCGGACGCACCATATGCTTCAAGATGGGTGATAGTGCAATTTGCAGCCCGATGGCCGTCGAGATCCTCAAAGAACAAAGAGGAAGAACAGCTGGTTGCCTCGCCATGGTTGGATAGCAGCGAGTCAACCTGTTCAATCATATGCCACTCTTATTCACCGCACCTTATCTTATTTGGTTTGTTTGTTTTATGTGGATTAAGCCCGTAAGAGCGATGGGAATTTCAACCTACTGCTCAAACAAGCTCAAGGCATCGATACAATGTTATTTTTCAAACCCTGCTGCTGGAAATACAGGAAAATTACCTCTCACAAGATACCACCTCAAAGTGAAGGAATTCATTAGTTGCTGCTGGGTTTTTATAGAGCCAAACATGAGCCTGAAGCATAATAACAGAACTATTAGCCCGCCACAATCTATTATCTTTAATCTAAGACCACCTATTGGCTAAATCCTAAATGATGGTATTCCCTGTCCTAAAGGGCCATGCTGAGCTTTCAACTGCTGCCATTTCTCTCTACGGAATGCCATGGGATTAAATCCTCCCGCTGGCAGCCATTCAGAGGAAGTGACAGCACTGGATAGCCTGTAAATGGCTTCAACGTGGCTCATGTACCACGACCTGAGAGAGGTCAACAGAACTCTACACTCTAAGTGTCAGCCTCACAGAAGGGATGAAATTAACATTGCCGGTGATAAAGCTCCCATGTCTTATCCTCCGGAGGGTTAATTCAGAACGTAGGGGGCCCCTCCATTGTGAAGAAATGTGTATGTGTCTACATGTTCAAGACATGGAGGGTCTTCTAATGTATTTTAGGAACATGACTCTTGAGATGCTACCCAGGGTAAAGGTGAACAAGTCATCTAATTGAAACAAGATCGTATCTAGTAGGCAACCTTTTACACGGACTAGGCACTGAGAAAATAATTATTTGATATCAAAATAAAAGCCATAAAAAGTAAAAAACACATTCACACCTCCTTTCTCTGTGAAGAACTATTGTATCCTAGAGAAACATATTACAGAAGGCCACTCAACATCTTTAGAAACAGTATTTACTGAACAAAAAAAAGTCTTACAAAAGCTACAAAAAATATTTATTTGGACATTCTCAACTATATTATTAATCAAGTTTGTCAATGACTTGTTGAATGACTTGTTTTCAGGGTAAGGCACTGTAGAATCTGTAGCATCATACGCCTCAATCTACAGCAACATTTAGTAACTTTTATTTAATGGTAAATCCATTTGGTTCATTGTAATTATGCATATATGCACAGATATTATAGCCCAAAATAAACCACAACAAAAAGGAATTAGGTTATAAACTTCAATTTTAGGCACAGACAGTGATGACAAATTCAATCATTCTTCAGCAACCTGAACACGGCAAATTGCTGAGGTCAGAATTTCCCTCCATTCAAAACAGTAAAGCTTTAAAGAGTGATCTTTAAACATGCTAACAAGAAGACTTCCTTGTAGAGCAGGTAGGTTCACAGGAAAGCCTGAGGTTCATTAACTGATTAATAATGAAGCACTCCATTATGTCAACCCCTCGTTTTGCCAGGTCTCAATGCAAAACAGACCTAGCCAGGGGAAAGTCAACAGAGCCAAGCCTATCTGCAAACTGTTCCTGTCCAACTACCGCTGCATCCAAATGAAAGCAAATGATTAAAACATCTGCAGGAAGCCTGCCCTTTGACTAAGACGATAAATAGTCACACTCACCTCTCCGGATTGTGGCAGTGTCAGCTTAGGAATTTTGCCCTTGGTCCCAGCTGTGCTGCTTTTGGTATCCAGCAGACCTCCAAATGGCACACTGTTGTACCCTTCCACCAGCTCCACAGGGGGTTTGAGCTCTGGGGAATCATTGGGGACCTGGTCTTGGCCGTCCATTGGCCTGACGTAGGCAGTGGGTTTCTGCTGCACAGCACTGCTGGGCTTGCAGTGGAGGCCTTGGGGGAATGTCGGCGTCAAGAGGCCGCTAGGGAGCAGGGATGTAGAGGCCATTGGCGAGTTCGAGCCATGGGAGCATAAGTCCTGCTCAGCGGGAGACTTTCCAAGGCCAAGCTCGGCTGTGGCTGGTCCTTTGCCAGACTGTGCCTGCTTCCTGTTGGAGTGTGACGAAGTTGTAGGTCCACCAGGATTGGGACTCGAGTCCTCTTGGTCCTGATCATGTCTACTAGAGGTCTGCTCATGACTGGAGTGCTTTCCCCGGCTGACCGGTTGAGCGGTCTGGGCACCACTTGAACAGTGACCCCCTCGGGACCAGTCTGAAGAGCGTGACTTTTTGCCTTGATGTCCATGTACAACGCTAGAGCCCGGCATGGTGTTGGCAGGGGGTGGGGGCATGGAGGTGCTGTGACTTCCAGGTTGGGAGGGAGCAGCTCGGCTCCGCTGAGCCTCAGGGAAAAAGCCTGGCTGGTCGGGTTTCTCCACTGGAGTCTGGGGAACAGAGTTCTTAGGAATGCCAACAAGGTGACTCTGGTTGGAATGGCTAGTAAGGAGCTCCTTCATTTCATCATAATTTCCAAGTGTGTTTTGGACCCGGTTAGCCAGGGCATCTCCTTTGTTAGTCTGAAAGAAAAAAAATTATAATGTTATATATGAAACCTCTGTATAATTAAATGCAGTAATTTTCCTAACAAAGGTCTTTTAAATGAACAGTTCACCCTAAAATTAACATACAAAAGCTGGTTTATATGACTTGTGCACTATATTTATAGTCTCCTCAAGTCAATGCAATAGCTTTGTGTGAAGAACAGACCAACATTTTAGATATTTACTCATAATATTCACCTCCACCATAACCCTAAATCAAATATAGTACATATGGAGAGGTAGGACTGAAACAACCTCAAACATCAGTGGTTCTCGAGTACCTTACAAACATATGTCAATTAATTGATTTAAGATTATCAATGAATAATTACAATGATTTCAGACGGTTACTCAAATAAAGGTATTGAAATATTTTAAAAGACATGGAAGTCATTTTAACCACTTTAATGGTGCTTATTTAGTCCTTTTTGGAGCTTAACCATGCAGTCAATATGAGCTGTTGAATGGCAAAGACACGGAAGTTTTTTACTTTTTATTTTATTTCATTTTTTCATTTCATACAAAAAATAACAGCATATGGGTTTGAAATTACATCAAGATGCGTAAATAATTATAGAAGATGCATTTTTTAGGTCAACTATCAATTTAATTTGAAGAATATTCAACTGTTTTGCAAATGTCAGTGGACTTTAATTTTCAGATAAAATATAAAAATAAAGATAAAACATTCCACAACACAACAAAAACTCATAATACCCAAAAGTAACACCCTAAGTCTGTGAGTGTGAATGCCATGTCAAGGAGTAATTTAGTGTGTTCACAGAACCCTTCTCAGGATGGACAGATCTAAAGAGTGCGTTTGTCAGTATAAAGAAACTGAGGATTTATCATGAGCTTTAGCTGACTAGACCATTAACATAGTTTTGAGATGCACGCCAACTCTCCATTTGATGTTAGTCAATATTTATGAAACCCAGCAACGTGTGATCACAGAAATGGCGAGACGCTGTATTTAGAATCTATTCAGAATTTTCTGTTTGTGTGCCATTTCTATCTGTGCCTGTGTGCTGATCTACATAAAATAATGTTTGCAAACATCTCCTAAATTTAGGGTGGGCAGACAGATACAGTAATCTCCTCTCCAGAAATGTCTGTCCAAATCTAGTCGTCTTTTGCTGACAACAAGAGTCAATTTTATAATAATCATTATCTTTTAGGTTGTGCAGCACATCATTAGTTGCACAGCGTTCTACAGAAGAGAAACATGCTATCCCCCCACCCCACTGATTATTTGCATAATAAGCATCATTCTTCTTAACACGCAGGCCTTTACTCTTGTATTCATCACTATATTTACATTTTCCTTTATTCAAAGGCTCCTACTAGCACCCTAATTCTAAAGAGTCTGAATCTAGAGGTACTCAATAAATAACTAAATGCATGTGTGTGCTTCTCTTGTACACTGATACAACTGAAGGCTACGTTAATCCCAGAAAGCAAGAGTAGAGGGATAAATCTATTAGCATTCTCCATTAATTTCACATGTAATTGCTACATTAATAACAGCACAGCTCTTCTAAAATGCAAATGCATCTGTTTTGGCTTTCAGCAACATAAACAGTCAATAAACAAATAATGTTAAATGATCCACAACCAGCATAGCGCATGAAAAGTTATTAAAGCAGTGATGGAATTATGCACTGGACGGTTAACATGCAACCTTACACACAACAGAGGATCTGATTCTAAATCTTCTCAGTCTGACATCAAGACTGACCTCTGACCTGCTAAAGCCTTAGCAGTAATGTCAGCAATAAAACCTTATTGACTATGTGGTTGTTATTCAGAGATTTATTATAATGACATTGTTGAATTATTTCTGGATTATTTTGAACTATCTATCTATCTATCTATCTATCTATCTATCTATCTATCTATCTATCTATCTATCTATCTATCTATCCATCCATCCATCCATCCATCCATCCATCCATCCATCCATCCATCCATCCATCCATCCATCCATCCATCCATCCATCCATCCATCCATCCATCCATCCATCCATCCATCCATCCATCCATCCATCCATCCATCCATCCATCCATCCATCCATCCATCCATCCATCCATCCATCCATCCATCCATCCATCCATCCATCCATCCATCCCAAGCCAGTAGCTTTTCATTTATATTAAATGATATATAATATATTTATATTCTCAGCATAGCCATAATTTAGTTTTTTTTTCAAAACAAAATGATTTTTCTTTTTTTTTTTTTTTTTAGAAAACATTGATGACATTAAAGAAAAAAGATTAAAACCAACTAAATTTGTATATATACACACATACATAGGGAAGAACTGCTAAACACAAATTAAAAAATTTAATTAATTACAATTTTGTATAGTTGTATAGAAATTAAATTGTGTCTAATTGTGTATAGTTGTATAGAGATTAAATTGTCCAATTGTCTAAAAAAATATATATATATATATATATATATATATATATATATATATATATATATATATATACTGTATATATATCTTTTTTCCACTTTATTTCTCTTTTTTAGTCATATACATTTTCGACTATTAATCCTTGTCATTTTATGGATACTTTTAAATTTTTCATACAATAAGCTTACAATAATTTTTTTTGAACACTTTACTTAAAGCATTTATGTATAATTAATTATAAAATACTTTTATAATGCATTATATAAATGCTTTAGATAAAGTGTTAACACAATTTCATACAATAATTTGAATCTGGGTCCATTGTCATTTTTTCCGTGGCCTCACCGTACAGATGACGTGAGTGCTGTTCCTGGGAAGCACTTGGATGGGAATGTGGACCGGTGGCTCTGCTCTAGTGTTTTTGGAGTGAAAGATCTGAAAGGGACACTCTTGAGTGAGAGGAGTGCGTGAACCTCCCAGACAAGGTGGTTCGGTCAATGTGAGGGAAAATCCATCTGGGGCTCACACAAAGAACTGTTGTGTGAGCGCGACTGCTTGACTGAAGCATGAGAATGCTGGACCGCAGCCAGACACGCATTCTACACAGCAGTTCCAGCTCGGGGGAAGGCGAGAAAGAGAGAAATGCTCTCATTTAAAGTGTTAATTGCTGACATTTTACATTCAAAGTTTCTTAAAATTATGAATAAGCCATTTATGAATGATTAATCGCGTACTTATGTTGGCGGTTACAGCTTTTACTAGCTAATTAATGTGTTCATTGGAATATATAAACACTTTAAAATGTCTAGAAGATTCAGGAGAGGTTTTAGGATTTACTACATAAAAATAAAGTTAAATAAACATTTTACTGCCTTGTTTTCTGCATACTGTAGGTGCATCATTATCTGTTCTCTGTAAAATAAATTTAAATGAATGAATGAATGAATGAATGAATGAAATGAATATCCTCCAGATCAACTTGTAAGAAGGAAAAAAAAGATCTTTAGAATATAGTTCCTCTTACTTTATTTTATTGTAATATTAGGAAATTATTAACACAAAAATATAAGTTCATATATCTCATTTTGAATTTCAATACAGACCTCTAGAACTGTTCTCTGAGCTATACTATTCCTACATACTAATCAAAGGCAGAGATCTGAATATCTGAATATCTGAACTCCAACCCAGCTAACAAAAAATATGTTCTAAGAGCATTCTGCTAGCGTTCCAATTAAGCTATAAAAAGAAGTCTAAATGCTGTGTTATTCTGACTTTTTGAAAACATTATTAAAGACCAGATAACTTTGAATGAACATTCCACTGACGTTACTGGAAGAATGTTCGTAACTCTGAGAGAACCTTGCCAAAGTTCTGAGAATGTTCCTGGTTAGCTGGGACCATTTCTCATCCAATTCAACCAAGACCAAAATGATCTGAGCTGCTTCGACACATTCACGTTATATCTCTATATCCATCCGTTATATCGACAATTGCCTCATCTGTGGCTATTTAATTTCTCTTAAAGGACCTCAGATGATGCCAACCCTGAAACAACTTACAGAACTACCACATTTTTCTATAAGTTTGATTGCATCATATAATAATTGCTGTTAATATTATTCATAGTCTGTTTTATTATGTCTTAAATTGATTTTTCCGTACTGCTGGTTCGTCTGATCAGAGGAGAACTGGCCCCCCGACTGAGCCTGGTTTCTCCCAAGGTTTTTTCTCCATTCTGTCACCGATGGAGTTTTGGTTCCTTGCCGCTGTCGCCTCTGGCTTGCTTAGTTAGGGACACTTCATTTCCGGTGATATCGTTGACATGATTGCAAAGATACTATTTAAACTGAGCTGGATGTTGACATCACTGAATTCAATGATGAACTGTCTTTAACTGAAAATTTGTGTTTACTATTGTCATTTTGCATTATTGACACTATTTTCCTAATTAATGCTGTTCAGTTGCTTTGACACAATCTGTATTGTTAAAAGCGCTATATAAATAAAGGTGACTTGACTTGACTTGACAAACTATTTTGAGAGAAAATTTGAGACAAAGTAGATACACAATAGAGCAACAGCCAACATACTCAAAAAAACACTGCTGACTTTGATGTAAACTCTCAAAGTTTCAAAAATAAAAAGTCACAAATGCTATCATTCCTGGATTCAAGTATTTTAGTATGCAATTAGGAGGTTCAGTGACATCATTCACTTTACATCAATCACATCAATGTGATTTTAAGCACTCGAAAATTCAAAGGGTTACACGAGACTTTGCAATGACCATTACTGAATTGCCCGGATGGAGCATCTTGGGGAAAAAAGGACAGCATTCTTCTTCCCCTTGTGGCTTTCTTTACTTCAAGACAAGGACAGATTATCTACTTAGACATACTTAAGTGCTCCAGTGTCACTTGCCTCTTTAAAACACTCCACAAAGTCTTGGTAATGACTAGTAAAGACTTATTATTATTTTTTTTTAATTGTGAAATGCAGTCCTAGTTGCAGAGCAAAATCAGGCCAAAATGAACATATGAACATATAGGC